TTGCATAGACAGATTATTGTCAGTGTGCAATTCATATTTAAGGATTAGCTGTTACAACCCAGGGTACACTTGCAGCTCTGAGGAATTTAAGCCTTCTGACTAATCCACCTCATCGCATGGCTAATATTTAGATTCAACAGACTGAAAGTTTACCCTGAAGAGCTAAATGAGACAACTGCAGTTATTTCTCTGAGGCAATTAACTATATTGCAGTGCACAGATGCAGCTGGAGACAGACCATGGAGTCTACTTAGAGTGAACACTGATACAGTGGAACTTGTTTACCACAAAGTAGAAAATACTCATTTGTGTGTGCCACTGTCCTCTCTGGAACTCTCCTGGAAGAGCCCAAACTGCACAGCTAAGCTTTGCCCTGTGCTACTGATGGGGAGGAGGTGGCTAATGTATCTCCAGCCCAGATGCTGAGGTTAGGGCAGCTTTCTCAACATGAAACACATGTCCCACAGCCTGTCCTGGGCACAGCAGTCCAAGGGGCACATGTGTGCAGCACAGCCAGTGCCTCCACAGCAGTGCTGCACAACCACAAACGTGCTACAGCACATTTCAGGAGTAAACTGGGTTCTCCGTAGGTTTATGCCTGCCCTCTGCAACAAACATAAGACAAGCTGCCTGTGGTATACTTCATGTGAGGGATACCACTGTGCCTTAGCCCTACGTCCCACACCCACCTCCCAAAGCAACCGCAAAACTTAAGCCCTGAACATCTTGGGAGAGTGGGGCAAAACCAACTGTCCATTGGCTGGAGATGGATATAGAGCAGAGCTAACCTCAAAGCAGCACCCTCCCTGGCATCACTGCCAAGAGCTGGATAGCACTGAGCTCAGCTGCCCATCAGTCCATGCCATGAGCTGTGCTTCGGTTCCCATTGCATCTCACAGTCTTGCAGTGACAGTGCTGCCGTGAGGGACAGAAGGAGCCACCTGCTCAGGGGGACAGACACCCAGGAGATTGTTCTGGGCAAGAAGAAACGAGTTTCACGGACTGGCTGTGCTAACTTACAAGAGTGTAAACTAAGTAGGGGAATCCTCACACTGTCTCCAAGTGCTCCCCTTTTTATATATAAATTAGCAATCCACAGTTAGTTTGTATACAGGATAATATGAATTAAAATAAAAACCTTGATAATAAAAACATATAATACACACATTGATCCACAGCAATAAACTGAATGAAAACACTAGAATGTAACAGTGGGTGTAATTTGGCACAAAATAAACACAAAAAGGTCTAGCACTGTAAAAATAACAATCCATTTTTTTCCATAAGTAGAGAATGTAATCAATTCTGATTCAAATCCTGATAGGTGGGAATGCAGAGATATAAAAATACTGTACATACAAGATCCCTTTTACAGAGTGAAGCAGACTGCAGCATCTGTAACTTCTATGCTTCCTCCCCAAGAGGAGAAATTCAATGATGAGACTTCATTTATCCCTTAAGAGCTGATATTTTCTCACCCCACCAAGTTCAAAACCATGAAGTTCTTTAAAAAAAAGATAAAATTAACCTGTTGGATCTATCCACGTGACAACAGCTGCTTCTTGCTGCAGGAAGCTGTACAGTCCAGATTAAGACAGTGTTTCATAGCAAGGCGACTGAGATCAGCCTGCTGAAGACATGGAGTATCCCTGCGGGTAAGGCACGATCCCTCCGGTTCACCCAACCTCTCTTCGGCAGACATTGTGCTTTGGACGGAGGCAAGGAGGTTGGTGAGAGCTCTTGTGGCTGAGATGTGCCAACTATGAATATTAGGAAGTACCAGGATTTCACAGAGATGAATTTTCCATGTGGTGCCTGATGCCTTGTTAATGCACAGATTGAGAAAGGGATACAAGACCTGAACAACCCGGGCAGGGGTCCCAGCAAGGACTCCTACCTCCTACTAAATCTGGAGCAAACCCATAGACAAAGCTACTAAAACTTGGCAAGAGAAAACAAGGAAAAAATAAAGATACTGAAACACTTTTCTGCCATAAGAAGGAAATATTGCTGTTTCTTTATAAAAGATCAGCTTTGTTGTGCTTCTTTCCAGGAACACATGTACAAGGTGCTGAGTTTGCATCTCGCCTACACCAACTGCACCTTCTTGACTCTCAGCAGAACTGTGGCCGCTGAGCCCCAAGAGGAATTGGCTCCTTGTTCATCCATGATCTTAACTCTTGTTGACTTCAGTGGGATCACAGAATTCTCTTCCAAAAGTGGTCACTAAACACACAAGTCCAGTTGCAACCTTTGCCTTGGGAAGTCTCTAACCTATCTGACTGCATCAGGACCCCAAAGTATATCAGATGAACAATTACTCTGCTTATACCCCATTTGCTATCTGCTTTCCTCAGCTACCATTCCTAGCATTTCTCTCTCTCAGTAGGTGTCAGCCCCTTCTAACAAAACCTTAGGGCCCCCCTTTCCACAAGGGCTATAGAAAAATAAAACAGGAGAAACACTTAAAAGGAACAGCAAATGAATAAAGGTAGACAGTAAGAATAAAAAGATATGGATGAAGGGAGGATACAGAGCAAAACAGCCCATAAAGCATTCAGCACTTCCTGAAGGCACCCAAGGAAGCAGCAGATGCTCCTTCCCTTGGGCTCTTTGTCTCTTAGTGCCATGGCTGGAGAGCTTGACTGGCCCAAGGAGGCCATTAAGAAGATCCTGGAGCTCCACAGAGCAGGTACTGAGGTGTTCTTCAGACTCTACCCAGCTTCCAAACTAAATCAGAGTTTTCTCTCATATTTCTATTCGCTCCCATTGAAGTCAACAACTTGGATACCACCAAGCATCCCTTCTGAATTAACAGGTTTTTCAAATGTCAGGGGGCTCATGGTCTTCATGACTTTTCTAATTAGGGTAAGACAAGAGTTACATCAGCCAACTGCAATGCAAGAAAGTCCATCATAGCCACCCTACAGAGAGACCCACAGAGGGCTGAATTCCTAGTTGGCAATTTCCCTTTGCCTTTTGCAGCAGGTCACCGGTTTTTCGCAAGCACAGCAAGTACAAAGCTCAACCACTTCCTGATTTGGCAGGACTTTTCCCCATCCAGTTTTCACAAGTGCACCAGGTGATACAAGCAGCAATGCCTGTTATGTAGGAAGTGTTAATTCATAAAAACATACCAGGCATTCATTTCACAACAATAATTACTCTGATGGCAGTGGAGGGAAAAAGCCCATAGGAAAAAAAAATGGCATTTTCAGCAGCAGAAATTTTGACTGTTATATGAAATACAAAAATAATTTTTTATAAAATAAAATCTCGGTAGATGATGTTGCCACACTGGGCCAAGTTATCAAATAAACAAGAAAAAAGGAAAAACAGGATCTATGTTGTTATTTTTCTGGATCCTTTTAAACAATGTTAACACTTCTGAATAGACAGAGACAGAACGAGAAGAGTAAACAAGGCAAGGACAGTAAAATCTAGCTGCTGGCTGGGATATTTCCTGAGAAGCAGCAGCAAGCAAGCAAGACCTTGCAAGTCACTTAAGGGTTCATGCAGGTGAGTAAGCTCACAGTCTGGAAGCAAGGGTATGCAGGTAGCAGGATGCTGCTGATGCACCAAGTCCTCCATTACAAGGTTTTTGGATAGTGTATACCCGGTCTATTGGGGGTCATGTGGTTCTTCATAGATACTGAACTGCTGCCAACAGGCCAGTGGGGGTAAGAGATGGAAGTATCTCGAGCTGTTGGTCAAGGCAAGACAAGGGTTTGTGCTGTGGCATTAAACTTGCCCCTCCAACTTATGACAAAAAAAACCTGCCTAGTCTTCCTAGGGATTTGGCCCAGTAACTATCCTACCAAGGACAACAGCCAAGGTTAAAGCCTTACAGCTGCCTTAGGACTTGAATTGTGCACTAGAGAAACAGCAGACAGGCATGCTCTCTTCCAGTTTCTTATAGGTCCAGAGAGCTGTCAAGGCTCCCTTCCCAGGCAGATCAGTGGTGAGGGCAAGTAAAGTCATAGCTCTGTCTCCCCTCCTCCACAAAGCCAGTGGCAGAACTGCAGCTGCTGGCAGACAACGAAGAGCATGGCAGGACAGACTCAGTGCTGGGCACTAAGGAAGCTGGGCTGTAGGGGCAAGGCAGCCAAACTCACTGCTGTGAACTGGACTGGCACATGAACAACCTGCCTGTACCAGATGAACAGACTCCAAGCCAGTGTCCAAATGTTCGGCTTTGTAGTTTAAAAATATACCTGAAAATAATGGCAAAAAAATTATTAAAAAGACAAAAGAATCAAAATGAGTGGAGGCCAAAAGAAAAGGCTACTTGTCTGTGCAAGAGAAAAATGATTTTCAAAGAGCAGAAAGCCATCAAAGTGGAAGGGGGGAATCAATACATGGGCAAATCTATACAGACAACAAACCTGCGGACCCTGCTAAGCCCTAGAGAGCAATAATTTTTTTATTCCAGACTGGAGTCTGCCTGGGGTGCTGGACAGAGCACTGTAGAGGGAAGGCAGTCACACAGACATGGTGTGGACCATTCAGCACTCTGTGCCTAGCTCAAGTGGCCTGTAACTGTAGATTTTTAATTCAATGCCCATATGGCCCTCTTTCAGCCCCACGTTTCCAAGACATATGCAGGTTCAGATACAAGTTGCTGTACTCAAGTGCATCAGCAACCAAGCTAGGAGTTACAGGAGATCCTACTTGGCTTCAGTGAAATTCCTTGGCATCTACTACACTGAAGCTCAAAGTAGGTGACCACAGAGGTCCATTCAGACGTGTGTGAGTTCCCAAACCACAACTCACAGCTTCTTGAACTCCCTAGCATGCACACAAGGTCTAATTTCAGTTGAAATTGTCTTCCTTTTAACTGTTCTATTCTATATCTGGAGCTAAATGCCTAGTTACACACCCTATCCAGATTTTTGGAAACCCTAGAAAGAAATACAGCAGTTAAATTCTGTTCCATAGGCAATTTCTTTGTCACCGGTCCCAGGGTCTGGCCTTTGCTGGTGTATGTTTGAAGATCCTTCCTAGTATGACTGTCAGGTTGGGTCAGTTGTCTTATCCAAAACAGGAAGAAACACGTTTCCTCTTACAACTCTTTGTGCTAAGCCATCCTAATACTGAAAGGACTTGTACTTCTGATGTTTCGCTGCACTGCCATAACACAACTCATTTCTTCAATTTTCCTCCATTTTACATGCATCTCAATTTGTCCTATTTGTCAAAGCTCCAGCCAAAGATTAAAAATAAAAATAGAAGGAAAGCCTCAAAAGGATGTATGAAGGAGCTGTTAAGCCAGCTGGTTGATTTGCACAGCTCAGTGGCAGCTAGATTATACTGCACTGCTTCAGTCATCACATATGAGTAAGAAACTGAAACAAATAATTTTCCTTAATATGATGACACTTGAAGAAATGATCCTGGGAGTGGAGGGTGGGCCTCCCATCGGGTCAGGAATCAAGGAAGTTGCCTGGCAATTCCAGTAATATTTGCTACAGAAGAGTCAGCAAAGGCTAGCACAGTTTACTGCTTCCTACGGGAACCTGGAAAACAAAACAAAGAAAAAAAACCTGTGAGGCTAGATCCTGGTGGAGAAACTACTACCTGCAGTTGTATTTTACTTGTCCTGTCGTTCTATTTTACTTGTCCTGCCATCTTGTCCATCTGTCTGACTTCCCAGGGACTGGTAAAGTCAAAGGTCAAAATGGGAACCATATGTTTCATTACCCAAGCAAAAGGAAGGATAGATCCACAAGACAGGCAAACATTCACATTTTGTTTAGGGAGTGAATGGTGCTGCAGCCTCACTTCACAGTCTCACTAAAGAAAACTGAATGAACACTGGGTTTACAGACTCAGATATCTAAGTGCCATCAGATATCTAAGTGCCATCAGATATCTAAGTGCCATCAGATATCTAAGTGCCATCAGATATCTAAGTGCCATCAACTTTGCAGATTACTTGATGAAGACAGAAGTTTCCCAAACTTTAAATTTCAGAAAGGAAAAAGTGTCCACATATAAGTCACAATAGTGGAGCTCAACAAAACCTGAGAGACTAAGTGAAACTCTGACTGCCCTTTTCCTTCCCCAGAGACTCCACAGAAAAATCTGAATGCCAACTGTGTGAGTTAAAAATCTGCAGGGGTGACCTTAATCACACTGCTCTATGCGCAGTGATTTCAGGAAACAAGCCAAGAAAGCAGTGCTGAGATGCCACAGGAACAAAATAAGCCTGTCCTCAGGACAGGCTTCTGTCTGATCATCCCATCTACCCGCCAGCCAGGTGATAATGCAAGATTGTCTTGGATTGTTTGATACTAGTGAGTCACCTAAAATCCATCATGTCATTGTCTTAGTGTCATTTCTCCATCATTTGCTGCCTGGATTTACAGTCATTCATCATTAAGAGATCATGGAGGACACGCAGACAACAGTTTGACAAACTCCAGGCAAATCAATTCAGCTTTTTAGTCTCTCAGCCTGCAACATGCTCAGCAAGTACAGCCCCAAACACTGACCAGCATCACCTGCTGCTGGTGTAATAATATGCACTCCTTGTTTCTATTAGCATTGCCTTCAAATACTCTGTCTTGCAGGCTGCTTGTCTGAGTAAAACAGCTCACAACAACCCAAGAGCTGGGGCAGCCCTGGGATTGATTGATCCTACCTTTAGGAGAGTGCTCAGGTCTGGGGATCTGGCGCAAGGGGCTGGGCTGGCTTGTGTAATATCGAGAGTGTTCAAAGTCATCGAGGAGAGGCTGCGACCTGCCAAGCACAGGGTAAAAGGAGTGATGGGAAATAGCTCAAAGGCATAACAGTGTGTCAACAGGAACATCTCAGCTGTCTGGTCTGTCGCTGTCAGTTTGATGCAAACTGTGCCTGGCCCAGACTTCCTGCCTGCAGAGCAGCTCCTCTGAGCACAGCCCATTACTGTTTCTGCATTAAGAAATGCAGAGCATTTACTGCTTCTCCTGCACCTCTTTCATTTAATAATGGTTTCAAGTTGTCAGGAAATAAAGAATTTCCATCATGAAGATTGATGCAAACCTCACTCAAAAGAGCAACATTTTGAAGTGTTTAATGCTTGCCCAGATTTAGTCCCAGAGTATTTTAATATGATCTCTCTTCAGTCTCACACCTTATCTGTTGTTTCTTTTGCAATTTCAACAAGAATTTCTAGGCTCCTTTCTGGAAATCAAAGGCACTGGGGTCACTTCCAGGGCCCAGTCTCTCATGAGGGGCCTTGAGCCAGAGCATCAAGAGATTCAGAAGCAACAATGGGCTAGAGCACGTTCCTAGTTTGGGATGAGGTACCCCAAAGCACAGTGCACCTGCTTGCAGGGAGTGTCCACATGCAGCAGTGGGAGCTGTGTACAGGGCTTAACTGGGAGCAAAGACGCAAGGGAGCAGCTGTGCAAATGCACGGTGATTACTCCTTCCTGCCCAGATATGACATTTGTTTTCACATCCCCAGAAGCTCTTTAACCCTCTCAATGTTTTTCTGCCATTTAACAAATGTCACTGCACAAAGCTCATCAATCTCTGTCAGCACAAGGCATGGAGACCAATATGGACAAATGCCATGAGCGCAGTGAGTGACGCATGTCACCAAACACCTCACGAGCTCTGTGCCCTCCATCTCTTCTCAGTGCTAAAATCTCTGCACTCCACCAATTCCCTCCTGGGTGGGTCAGGCTGGTCATCCCACAACTCCTCCCCAGGATTCAGCTTCTCAGCAGCTTCCCAGTTGCATTTCCCCATTTTTGCCAGCCAGTTCAAGCTCACCTTGAGGACCTGTCGCTTCTGTGTCGCTGAGTTTCAGGCCCTTCTCTCGACCTTGAGCGTGTGGACTCGCCTGCATCAGGCTGATGGGAAGGAGGGAAATCTGTTCATCTGTGTGCCTTGCAAGAAACCACCAGTGCACTGAGCCTGACACAGCTCCACACAGCCCTTTCGTGCTTGGTTTGTATGATTAACTACAGCCAGATGTGCAAATGCCAGTACCGGGACTAGTTTCCAGTAAACAAAACTCAGCCTTGCTGAGCCAAACTCAATTTTTGTGCTAAATATGTGACAGCTCTCGGGGACCATCCTGAAGCTGGGGTCAAACACAGTGTGCAATGACTGTGCACATGGCTGGGCTGAGGGACCAGCTGCACGCAGCTGTGCTCCTGCAACCACTTAAAGACAGTAAGGAGGCTGAAAACAGAGATACCTCCATCGGGGCCCAAGATTGACACAACATCCCATTTAGCACCTCACCAGTGCAAACCATGAAATCTGTTTCCTATCCTCTCCCATGTTGGCTAGCCAAGCCTTTCTGTTATTACTCATGCAAAAACCTAGGCAAATAGACTCAGTACTTTCATTACACAGCCAATTTTATTACGAGGCAGAGTGACATCTGAAGCATCTGCATTGCCCTTATACAAACAGATCCAACTACTGCCTTTATTGCTACAGTCAGGATTTCAGCAGAGGGAAGGTCCTGCACCAAGAGGACTGAAAGTGCTTCAAGAAGGCCACAAAGTGCTGTGACATCTAGTAGCAATCTCCCAGGCCACATGCCAAAAGCATCTAACCAAGTAGGTGGCTCCAAAAGTCTTGGGAAGCACTTGAATAATAAACAGCAAGACCCTTTGGAAGCATCACCACCTTTTGCTTTCACCACACACACACCTCCCTCTGGAAATCGGAATAACATTATCTGTGGTGCCTCCTGAAGCTTGACATACCTTCCAATCTTGATCATGCCTCCTCTTTTCAAAGGAAGACTTTTCTCTCTCTTTCTCTTTCCTTAAAGCCTTTTTCTCCTCAGCCATCAACAGTCGAGCAATTTCCTAGAAGGGAAAACACAGACAGTGCCTCAGATACTTTTACTGCTCTTGTGAGTTTGAATAACCTTCCCATGGACAGCTGCTGAATGGGAAGGGTGCAAATCCAGGACTTCACCCATCTGTGATCAGAAATCAAGTGATAGGGCAAAATTAAGACAGACATCATGCAGCATGCCCAGCAGATCCCTGATTTGCCAGAACTGCATTTGCAGAGCCTTTCTGCCCCCTACTCCTTTTCCTTAATGGAGGAGGTGGTTCATCTCACAGCATCTTGGATAGTCTCCCCTGGGGCTCAGAAAAGAAATGCTCTCACAGAACCATGAACTTCCTTCCTCTGTCATGGCTGCAACAGGCAGTGCAACTGTCTGCTTGGCCAGCCTGAGCATATACATGAAACTCAGGTAGGAGCAAACCCCATTAGAGCTCTAAGCTTCCCCTACAAGGAGAGAAATGAACAACTAGAGGGTAAGAGGGAACAAGTGGTGTTTGGCAGCTTCCACAAGCAAAGGAATTCCACAAATATTTTACTTGTTGCTCACCTCATCCTGGGCTACTTGAGCTGCCTTCTGATCTGCCTCATTAGCCTGGGGAAAAGAAAAAAAGATGGCAGAAGAAAAAACAGAGACAAAAGAGTAACATCTCTGAATTATTCATACTCATTAACCTACTGGCAGGGCAAGTAGGTGCCCATACAAATACACAACCATCCTCCCCACATATACTTACAACCCAACAATAAACTGTCATTTCAGCTTTTCAGCTGAAATTTGTCCTCATGTATCTGCTAGGGCACATCACAATGGATTTCCAACTCTGCTGCCCTCTCTTCTCAAAGATGGGCACTGGTCTGTCTCACTTCTGGGCTGGCCACACTGACTACAGGCCATCTTCACCTACCTGGAAACATTAATTTAATATCACTCGGCTTCAGTAATTTAATTTTGGGGTGTTTATTTAAAAAAAATAGGTCCTTACAGGGTGGATGCCAGCTGTCACTCCATATGTGCGCGTATGGAAGACAAAGATAATTACTAGAAAGCACAGTAGCACTTTATGTCTTAAAATCACTCTCATAGATAAAAGGTTTACAAATTAAAGTTGTCATTGCTGGCTACCTTAGTTCCTTCGAGATGACTAATGCATCCCCTCAACTTACCAGGAGCTCTTCCTCCTGCAGCTTCCGAGCAATCTCCGCATCAGACAACTCCTGTTCCATTCGGGGTGCATCATACATGGTTTGTTTCATCCCCCTCAAATTAGTGCCTACAGAATTGTGAGAGGAAAACAGTCAACTCAAGCATTCTCCACATGCTTTGGTGAGGAGACACCCACATTCTCTTCAGCTCCCCCTCAGGAGAACCATGAGGTTGTACCTGCCACACAGCTGGTTTGAGAGCTTCTTTAGCTGAGGTGCAGCACACACCTTAGGAAGGTTTCTCTGTGCACGCAGAAATACCTGATACACCATGTCTTACAACAAATGCAATTATATGGCAGAAGAGACCATATCCCTTGAAGTCTTTGATGACAGTGATGCTAGGAAAAGAATTGTCACACTATGCCTTGATACAGATACACTGGCAAAACTGGGCAGCAGAGAGCAGCCCAACATCTGTTATGAGCACGGCACTGAATGCACTGCTGGAGCAGCACGGGCTGCAAAGGCTGCCTGGGACAGGCTCACATGAGATTTCAGACTATTTCTTCCTTGGGATGACTGATGAATTTTACAATTCAATGAGAAAACAGCCAAGTAAGCATATTTAAAGTTCATATAATATTCAGTTCTGGCTTTGAGTAAAGAGTTTTGTTATTTTAAAGATAAACCTGATTAACACCTTCCACTTCCCCAAGGAAGGCTTTCATATTATGAGGAGGAAGAATAATTGCCCCAGTATCTCCAGAGACAGACACCCATTATCATCCTCACCTTACCCATGGGAATATTAGTTAGATGGCTTTAAGCATAAGTTTCCTCACATTGTTACAGACACAGATCCAAGTCTCCTACTTTCACTAGATCACCCCTACTTCCAGTGTGGTTTTAAAAGCAGAAAGATGCTTCTGGATCTCTAAAGCCCCCATTCCCCAAGTATTATTGAACAAGAACTACACAGGTACACATTTCCCAGAAAACTCCACTTGTACAGAATTTGGCTAGAACCCCATCTTACAAACAGAGCCCAGTTAGACACCCAGTGCCACTACTGAACTTTGCCCAAAATGAATTGATTAAGTTGCCAGCAGGGTTTTCAATAAGAAGTGGATGAAAATTGCTGGTTTTTTTAGTGCTTTAGCAAAGTGTTTTCACTTACAGTCCTGCATCTCAACAAAAGATAAGCATAATCCTTACATTTGGGGGTTTGTTAGTGTTTTTTTCTCTTGTGCAACGAGACCACTGCACAAAATGTATCATGAAAACAAAAGCTGGCTGTTGGTTGGTTGGTTGGGTTTTTTGGGGGAGGAGGGAGGAGGGTTTTTTTCTTAAAACACAGGATACCAAGGGTACCATTTCCAACAATACCTTCTTCCTCATCCTCTCCAATGCCATGGAACATCAGGACATAAACAGAGCAAGAACATTAATGGATAAGAAGAATCCCACTAAATCGGGGAGAAACCTGGACAGGATTAACTGTGTACACACTGCAGGTAGATAGTGGAGACAAGCATCTTCAAAGGAAGCAACACATATTTCAGATACCAGTATGGGGCACACAAAGGTCCATCCCCACACATACATACACCTTCCCCATCACTTGGTTACCTGAGTCTCGCTGGCAGCCTCCACCCTTCCCCTGGGTCACAGCACGTGGGGATGGGGAATGTGTCCTCTGTCCTGCCCTTCTGCAGTCTCTTGCCTCACCCCTTCTACGATCATCTCTAAATTCACCATCATGGAGCTTCTCATCATGTGCCATCCTGTGTGATGAGTGACCCTGATGGCGAGATTTGTGTTTTTCAGGGCGTACCACCCGGCCGCCGCCCTGATGCCAGGTTTCCTGCTCAGCCTCCAGTTCCAACTCAAGAAGGGGAAGGTGCTTTTCTCTGTCTTGCCTTGGGGGCTTTCTCCTGTGCTGTGCCTCATCTGCAAGTCCGTGCTTCGACTCCAGGTCAAGACTGAGAGGTCTCCTACCCTTCTCCCGGGCAGCTGTCCTCCTCTCCCGCAGCTCCCAGCTATGGCTGTGATCACAGGCACCATGCTCAGCCTCTCTTTCCAGATCAAGGCTAGGATGTCTCCGGGACCTTTCCTGGCTGGCTGTTTTCCACTCCTGCTGATGGCCACTGCTGGTCTCTCTCAGGTAAGGAGACCTCCGACGATCCTCCGAGGTGGAACGCCTGGTTTTGGAGGCACCGTCGGCCAAAGGTGAGGGAGGTCCTCTGTGCTCTCTCTGGTGGTGCCTGCGCCTGTCATGACTGTGTGCCCTGTGAGGCTCAGAAAACTGCTCTCTGGGGTCATGCCAGGGGTGCTCTGAGCAATGGGGGGACAAACAACGAGTGGGTTAGTGGTGCAGGGGTTAATGGTGGTTCTGAGGCCACTCGCAGCAGGCAAATGAGGGTGCTTGATGCAAGAAGCTGAAAATGCAGGCAAAGCATGATGGGGTCAGAAAAAAATAACAGGGACAGATAATGCTTGCAGGATACAATGGGGGGTAGAGTGAAATGGCAGCAGGGCAGAACAGGAGGCAACAAGGCTGGAGCAGAAAGCACAGGTCCAGCCTGAAAGTGTCTGAGACCTCCTAGACAAGGACAAGCCAATATAGAGACAAATGACTTTTAACAATGCAACTGGGGCTGAAAAACAGCCAAGAGAGCAGCTCATCTCCTGATGACACATCACTGCTGCAGGATCCCGAAACCACCTCAGAAAGGCTCGCAAAGAAAGGCACAAGATGCAGGTAAGGTTGGGAGGCAACAGGGGGCGTAAGGCCAGGAGGGACCAAGCAGAGGGGTAAGGTTGGATCCTGGTTTATAAACATTGGTGCCTTGCCCTGCCTTCAGGCACAAGTTTTTTCATTAGTTTCACTGATGGGGGTAAGACCCACATAAAGCAGAAAAGGAGACAAGAGATAGGATTTTTGTTTCTTTAAAAGCAAGAATAGGATGATGGATAGCTGCAGCATCCAAACATCTTCCACCACAGATGTCATATATCCCTTGCAGACCCAGAAGTTTCAGGTCCTGTACTTCTATACTGCCTAAATAAAAGTTTCAGCTCTGAATAAAGAGAGGGTTATAGAAATTTAAGAGCAGAATAAGAATTCACAAAACAGAAGCTCCTGACCTCAGCAATGTAGCTAGAAAAGCCACTTACTTGGCAGTTCGGTGGGGTTGTTTCCTCTGTGCTTTCCAGAAAACAGGTAGAAATTTTCTTTGCTCTTAGTTTCAGTAATAAACTTGAAACAGGTAGGAGGATGCAACAGTCTGCCTCTTTACAATCTACTAATTGATTTATTTTCCAATCAACTAATTTGCTAAGAAAAATCATTGCACTGAGTGAATGATTATCTCTCTACAGCAGCTTTTCAAAACAAAAAAAGAGGCCTTAAAGCAGTCTGATTTGAAACAGAACTACACAGACAAACCTCCACCCAAAAAATAGAAAAAAACCCCAGCAGCAGCAGACTTTCCTCCTCAACTGCCAAGATATTTCTTTTATAGTATCTAAATATATTTAAAATAGATTTCACTGCACATGAACTACATTCTGTTTTAATAAATAGCTCTGCCTCCCTTACAATCCATCTAGATTTCAGGGGAAAAAAAAAAACAAACCCCACACCAAAACTGAATGTTCCCTTCAAGGCATTCTACTCAGAAAAAACTTTTTCAGAGCCAGCAAAAATACAGCCTACAGAAAATCCACCTTGAAAACAAATCTGTATGACTTTTATCCAAAACAGGTGTATTTTTAGAAGTCCAAGAACCGTAACAGGAACTGCTGTGGTTGGTTTTTAACTGGTTGGTTTTTTCCTGTGTTAGATCATTCATATGATTTACAGAAAAAAAAATATCCAATAAAACAATCTGACTTACTGAACAACGGAGACCAGAGCCTGAAAGCAAGAGCCAGTTTTTGAACAACACTAACAAGGGTCTAAGAATTAATTCAATTTTGTCATTAAGGAAAGCTCAATAAATACAGCAGCAGAGAGCAGAACACAAAAGAGCAAAGCATGGCTACACTGGGAAAGGACTGCTGCAGGTAACACAACCATGCCAGACAACCCAAGCAAAAGACATGGTTTTGGGGTATCTCAGGGCGTTTAACTCATCAGCAGGTGCTGGTTCCTGAAGCACCTTCTGGAGGGGCTGTGTAAACACTCTCTGGATCCTGGTGTTACTCTCTCAAGCAGCAAGTGACTGAGTGAATACAAAAATGTTTTTCATGGCACAGACACTTCTGGGAGGAACTCTGCTTTTTTTCATGTTTATTTTTCCACTTTTAAAGAGTTCAGACTGCTTTGGAGCAATAGCCCTGATCCATGTGACTCCTGGATGCAGATAAATTTTTGTCAGCTGATTTGTCATAAAAATCCATACTGTCCTACCATCTCTGCATGGCAACAGTATTACCTACATTGTATTTTTTCAGAGACTTGTCCCATTTAATTCTAAAAACCTGAAGTGTGGGTTGGCCATAAGAACTCCAAGATGCTTTTTTTCCCAGCTCTGTACATGTAGCATGACTTGTGGTCATGAAGTTTCCACTTGGTTACTGCTTTGCACTTACTGCTTTGTATTTCTTTGTCTATCTTTGAACATCTTCCAAATTGAACCTAACTTGTGTAAGTTTAAATGCAAGGCTTGAAAACTGTCAATGGCATTGATGTCAAAATGAGAAATAAGAGGTTTGATCTTCATCTTCACAATCTGTTAATCAAAAGCAACCCATCTTTCCCACCACATTTTTGAAGGAAGAACACAGGAACCACCACCAGTGCACAGCAAAGCCATCCCCAGATTGCTCCATAATTAAACACACCCTGATTCTCTCCTCCCAGTTTAAAGAAGGTCTGTATTCAATCACAAAAGCTGACCAAGAGAAAGCAATACAGCGCTGTGGATCATATAATTTCCACAATGTACAGTCCCAGATGATAATCACAGCAGAGACACTCTGTGGAGATGACCTTGTTCTTCAGTAAGTCATTCAAAGTGGTTGTGCTAATTTTACTGCTTGGATACGTACCTGCAAGGAGCTATTTTTGAAACACAGTTCCATGAAGCAGCATTTATTCCTTTATGTAGCCGTGCCAGCATCACAAATGAGCACACAGAACTGTTTCTCTTCAAATGCAAGCACGGAATTGCATCGACATTCCTCCCCCACACACTGGGTGTTACACAGCAGTAACTGTGGATTATCAACTACTGTTTTTTTTCCATAAGCCCTTTTAAAACATGCAAGCATGGCTGTACTCGTACATACACACACCACACACCTTACCCCTGTCCTCCAGGCCATTTTCTAGGACAACAAAAATTATAAAACTGTCTGTTTTTTTTTTATTTAAATATTTCCTAATTAGAGAAAGCAATGATTCTGACCCTTGAAATTGATGTAATGCTAAAGTGCTCAATACAGGACTGTAGTATAAGGGAAAGTTCCTAGATGGAGTTGCCAGATCACCAGGTTCACCTATGAACCTTGACCTTTTATCTAGTAGAAACCTACCTCCATTTTCTGCATAATAGCTCTCCTCATAGCCCTGGGACTCTGGGTAGTGCTTCTTGCGCTTCTTTTCTTCCTGCAGTTGGAGGAGACGGGCAATGTCCTGCAGGGATGGGAGAAAACAGACATAAAATCACCGCCAAAATTATCTCCAGATTCTTTTATTCAAATTCTTTATTCAATTATTAAAATCCTGATAGTTTAATTTTTCAGACATGGCAACAACATTACTCAAATTCAACCCGCAGGTGGGATAGGGCTTTCAACCTAGTGGATGACACAAGGGATCATCTCAGCAACCAGTATTCAACCTCACCCAAGCCCACCATGGAAATTCCAACCCCATGGCAGACTCACAGGTTCCTGTTCCCCCTGCACACATTTGGCCCGAACAGCCAAAGCAGGGCAAAAGGGACTACCTGTGCAACCCCAGGATTTCAACTAGGATTTAGAAGTCACAGAAGTGCACACCCACTTACAGGAGTGGGCTGGATCTGCCCCCTGCACTCTGCCAGGGAAAGAAAAACAGAGGCTAAGGCTGTCTCTAGTTGAAGGCACTTCTGACTGGAAGGAGTTCCCACAGTAAGTCACAACCTCGCTTCACACTGGCTGTAATTTGCAGGAACTGTAGGATGCCAGGCAGAGAAATGCATCAGTCTGACAGACAGAGACTGAAGGAAAAGAAAATCGAAGGGACATTAGGAAGAGTGAGCCAGGCACAAGGCAAGAACTCAGTGGGGACTGCAGCCATTTGTCTTCTGTCACGGTTTTGGTAAATACGCCAAAGAGACAAGCACTCCATTTTCCTAATTGGTTTTCCTTCGAGATGACTAATGGATCAACAAGGCCTCGGAACCACAAACAGTTCCCTGGGGTTTGCTCACCTGAAGTCCAGAAGATTGCAAATCAGTGGAGCCAGTTTGAAGCCAGGAAGCAAAGCTGGCAGATACCAGCATGGCATGCTAGCCCTTTGGATGCTATTCATTTAAGCCTTCCTAATCCTCAGAACCTTTACAGAGCCATGCATGTAAAGTGGACACTGCGGGCAGGAAAGGCATCACTGAAATGCAAACTGAGAGTCAACACCCTCCAGAGCAAAGCCTGCACTGGAAGACATTGAACGGCTATTCAAGTACAAATTATTATTTCAGGATTCAGATAAGATCTGCTCAACAGCCAGCTTTGTGGAGGACCTGAGGATGCCACAGACTCTTCAGGAAAAAAAAAAAAAAAGCCAAAACAAAACCTCTTTCTCCTGACAAGGTTAACCTCTTCTACCAAGTACAGTAAATCTATAAATATATATGCTTAAGCACCTTATCTCCAGGACTGAGACAGCTCAGGACTTGCAAATCCACACAAACCACTCCTTACAAAAGGGGTTCATAAGCAGGCAGGCTTAGAGCTTCATCTGAAAACCCTGCGGTCCAGACCAGATCTGCCTCAGTCCACAGCTACGTTTCAGCCACACTTGGGAACTTCCCATGTACCAAGATGAAGAGAGAGAATATTTATGACTTCTCATTGCTTTAATCCACAGTCATCTGAAGACTGCTCCCAAGAGCACAAGATGGTCAGCAGGTTGACAAGCTGGAAGGACCAGTTGTCAGACCACTGACATCCCTGTAGCTCTCTACATAAAGCAGGAAGGAAAGGTGCAATTCCCCAAGCCAACATTAGTTTTGCATCTCCTTCACCTTCCTGATAAAAATAAGACAGATTTGTCACCTTTATATCACAAATTCTTTGACCTAAGTGTTCCTCCCACCCCGTTATCACAAGTTCCCCTTGGAAGCCAAGCCCTTCCACATCTGCCTGGACAGCTTTTCAGTACTTGCTTGGAATTAGTGGTACAAGAATAAAATTAAGCCTTGCACAAGCAAACTGATGCATCTGTCAGGTAAGGACAGATTCTTACTTCAGGCTCTTCCAGGAAACGCAGCTTTGTGTTTCCAAGCTCTTCCTATACAGAAAATGCCACCAAGTGCCTCTTAAGCATCTTGAGACTACTCAGACTTCTCAGGAAACCATCTGTAATCAAAAATGGGGACACATGCAACGCTCACACAGGTGTTCCTCTATTCTGTGGGTTTCTTAAAACCCAATCTGACAGGCTGACCCAATAAGGTGATCAACAAGCCAAATCCTTTGAACACCATTGACAAACCACACTGCCCAATCGCAACTGCTCAACAGCAGCAGAGTAACATTCTGAAATCACAAAAGGAATTTGCTAGCAAGAAACTACAACAGGGTGTTCAGGCTGTGAAAGACTAAACTGAAGAACTGAGAAGCCAGAAGTGGATGTCTGGGCAGAGAGTCCTCCTGAAATCTTTGCAACAAAGACAAAGAAATCATGATCCAAGATTCTCCCAAAAGTGGTACCTATCTTCTTGCATTTGAGAAAGCAAGCAGGTCTCAGAGTGCATAAACCACTACAACTTTCTACGCCAGGGCAACAAACACCTCAACAAGACCTACCTATTACTTGCCTTCTTCATTAGCAAAGCCACTGGCACCAACAATCCTTGTGACCCTTGAGTGTGAGGACTATGACTGTATCTTATTCCCGTAACAGGACTCCCTAAAAATCTCTCTGCATACAGAGATCTGCAAGGACAAGGATTGCCACCATGCAAGCCAACTCCTGTGGCTACTGGCCAAGAAATGCCTGACCTGAAAGGACTGCTACAAATAGCCCTGCCATCCCTGCAGCTTTAAAGGTTACCTCGTCTTTTTCCTCTTGCCTGCGGCGCTCCTCTGCTTCAAACGTGAGCTTCACTTGGATTTCCTGAGCGATCTCGCAGTCCTGTCGTTCCCTAGAAGGTAAGGAGACAAGGATTACAGGCAGCTGAAGCCACAGGCATCAGTCAGCCTGAAGAAAGGGATAAAAGAGCTAAAAAAAAAAAAAAAAAAAATCCATCTGATTTACACAAAAGGATTATTACTCAGTGTTACTGCAGAGCCTATGAATCCTCACCAGGGACGGGGACTCTCTGTACCTACTGCTAACCAAATTTAGAAAATACTTCCCAAAACCTTCAAAGACTATAAAGTAAAAGAAAACAGATTCATCGGCAGTTTGCTAAGAAAGGAGGTAGGTACCACAAAATAGGGCAGGCCAAAGTAGCACTTAGGAGTCTGCAAACAGTTTAATTCTGCTGAGTTTCTGTACGTGTGGTATCAAAGGAGGGGTTCAGGGGTACAGTTAATGAAGGTATACCTGGGAAGTGGTTTTCACATGAAAGCCAAGAAGAAGAAAGTGCAGGAATGCGGTACATAGGCCAAGTGGAGGCTGGAGGCGGCAGTTCAGTAATGATGAGAAATGCAGCTGAGGTGGGATGAGACACAAAAGCAGAACCAGTGCCAAGAGGCGAGGGAGCAACATGCGTCAGAACGCGGGGGGAGGGAGCCATCTCCACCCTGCCAGTGCGGACGCAGGAACACAAGATTGCATTAACTGGGGAAAGAGATAACAGTAATTGAGACAGGAGAGTTCTGGCTGTGTAGACAGACCTAGAAGGCTGTATTTCATGGGCATCACAGCAAAAGCATCTGCAAGAACAGTGCAGCATGCTCCGATGTCCAGCAAACAGGCTGGAAGAATGGCCTATGATTCCTTAGGGCAACTCAGAAAAGGGCTGGGGGATTTGAGAAGAAAGATTAAAAATTGTCTCTTTCAGCACTGTTTAAATTGAGCTAAAGACTAGCTTTAAACAGGTCTGAAAAATCAATCCCTGCAATTGCAACTACTGAAAGGCAAGGCATAGGAGGAGACAAAAACGGGAACAGCAACAGGCAGAGCCTGTTTTATTAGAATACAATGTGTTGAAGAACACAGTGGCAATGATCAGATAGGTGATGGGAAGGCTACCAAGAGCACATTAGGGAAGACAAGCAAATAATTCAAGAGAAGCAGGTTGTGCTGTGTCAAAGTTGTGCTGCATGGGATGAAGCAACTAGTTCTAGGCTTGAGCAAGGATCTGGGCAGAAACAACCTAGTGAACTTGGAGATAAAGGACTGCAGGAGAGTCTAGGACATGAGCAGAGGAAGTCAAAATAGTTTCAAGTGCAGATAAACACTTTAGGTTGCAAAATCAAGAAACGTGGCATGGCTGGAGCAGTCAGTGGCACCACAGAGCCTTCTTTTACAAAAAGTGAGGAATGAGAGAAGCAGAAAGGGTGGATATGTGGAAGAAGGACATTGCAACAAGAGGGTTTAGAGGATAAATGTCACCAAGAAACAACTCATCTGTCTTAAGGAACAAAAAGGTACATGCAGCAGGAGGGAAAAGAAGCTTCTTTATTTCTCTCAACTGCTCCATGGAAGCAGACCTGCAATCGGGCTGGAGTTATTAATAGGTCAAACATCTCAGGACATCAGCTTCTTTCATCCAGGTAATGAAACCTGGTATTTTTAGCATGTGCCTGTGTGTGTTTCATTTTACTCTGGGGGGAGGTGTGTTCAAAGGCACAAGAGTTCACACAGCAGCAACTCTAGTTCTTGAACCTGCCTTATATAAAGGGACCTTGGCAAACCTGGCACCCAGCAAAGAACCACAGCCCCCAGCAAAACAATAGCTGAATAAGCAAATCCTAGGGGGCAGGCTGCCAGTAGGCCTGATAGTGGATCCCTTATGACCCCAGCCTCTGAGGACGTGAATTCAGGTAGAAAGCAAGTTAGAAAGGTCAGACACATCAAGGCATTGCACGTCTCCAGTTCCCCTGGCACCTGTGAGCAGAGATAAAGTGCCAAGTTCATCAGCACAAACTGACTTGCTAAATACTTAAAATACATCTTATTACAGACAAACAGGACACAGAAACAGCTAATCATCTGTTGTAGTTTGGTTGTAGAAGTGGTAGCCATGTTCTGAAGCCACGAGGAGCAGAGGGCAAGAGCCCTCCGTTAACTTGAGTGAGCATAAGAAAAGAGGTTAAAGAACTTTGACAGCCCTTCTCATTCTTCAGTTTCTTTAGTGTGAGTTCAAGTGCCCATCAGACCCCAGAAATCAGCCAGAGCAACATAAACATCACCCTTCCTGAACATCCCACCTACATGTTCTTCCTTCCTGGGCTGCAGGAGTGTTAAAAGTGTTGGGAAAACTCTACATCAGTTTATAAAAAAAAGAGAAAACACCCAAAAATCTGTGTGATAAGAAAGCTCCCTACCATTCACACTGATTGTAGCTACTAGTTGTTGCCAGATGAGGGAAAAAAAGGAAATGTTTAAGGGAATTATTCAAAGGAACTAGCTTACATTAATACAACAGAACCATTACAGCACTGGGAGCAAAATGGGGAAAGGACATATTTTCACACTATTTTATTTTAGTCATCTTGCTACTACACTTAGCAGCATGCAGGCTGCTCAGCTAGATGTGAGAGATGCTTTTAAAGAAGCATAAAAATAAGGTTTGATGCTTCCCTGAATTCTTAAAAAGAAAAAAGTTATTTCTATTCTCTCATTTATCTTCACAAAGTCTGAGAAAATTTAGGATTTGAAAGACAGAAGAAAGCCCACAAATCTGAAGAGCTTTTGTATGTTTCCTGTTTCTAAAGACCCCCTACTTTTACTTCCTTACTTCTCCCATCACCTCGCAGCGTCAAACTGACCTACACAATACAGAAAGCATCAACAGCGAGGATTATTTTGTTGCCAGAATATGCTACTCTTAGACAAGGAGGAATGAGAACATACAAAGAATTGAGGAGGAAAAAGATCCAATTACAAAAGGATGCCTCCAACTTCTTTTACTATTCTTGCAGAAGAGTTCATGCTTCCAGGAGCAGAACTGCTGCTGACACAACATTTTGCATCAGCAGTTCTGCCTGTGCCTTGGCTCACAAAGTTTGTAAATCCCATTTTACAGAGTCCTACAAGAAGAAAATCATTTGCAGCTCCCAGCAAGTAACAAAGAGGAATCACCTCTGCCATACGAAATTAATTTTTACGTTGTCATTTACACACTCACGACTCTAATTGGTAATAAAGACAAAGTTATTGGAAAAAAAAACCAGACTTGAGATATATATATGTATCTACCCAGAGCTGCCTCAGTGTGCTGGGAACATTGAAAACAACGGCTGATCTGTTATGCTCCAGCTTCAAAGCTTTTATGAGCCACTGCTTTGAAGCCAGTCCTGTATCTCGCACATCTGCAACACAGAGCTCTTCTGCTTCAACACTGTCCCTGCCAGATGAGCCACCCAGGCTTTGTGATCCACCACCAGCTGTACCTGGTGGGTGGCATCCCAGAGCACGACACAAGCCTGGAGGCAGCACAGCTGCTGGGAGATGCATCCTGCCTTGCAGGCCCTGCATTTGCAGTGACCCCCATCCTGCCATCTCTCACCAGCAGTATCTGGCTGAGATCTGTCACAAAAATCATTTGTTACATCTCATGCATTACAAGTCCACTCTGGATTGGAAAGTACAGTTTTTTTTGCCCTGCACTGCCACGTTCCATTTCCACACCAGCTCCACAGCTGAGAGTCATGGTACACAAAAAGCCAAACCACAGGGTTTGATGTGCTGTGTGGGGACTGAGCAAACCTGCAGAGCAAACTGGATCGCTCGTTAAACACCCTCCCACAGCTGCTACAGAAGTCAGTGACTGCAAAAGAACGTCTGTCCTCAACACCCATCCCCACCAAGTGACCCTGGGGCAGCAGTTTCCCCTTCCAGGTCACTTCACACTGAATATCTGCAAGCACAAGCATGGGCTTTCAGCTTTCAGTGCAGCAGGACACCCATCTCCTCAAAAGCACTCACTAGGCACCAGTACAAACACACCAATATCTGCAATTTTCACGAGAGAGAATTCACTGTAACACTGTATTTATGCGGCATGGTTCCTTCTTTCTAAGACTTTGGCCCGCACAAGGTCAACACAACTGGCCAAGTTACTCCATTTTGCCAATGAGCAGTACAATGGGGAGACTCCTCCTCATGGACAGGCAACAGAATATAAGCCAGGATGGGCCCCAGGACCATCTACTTCCACCCTGTTCTCATTACTCTGTGCCTAGTATTAATACTTTTATAGCAATGGAGAGCCAAAGAAAAAAGGAAACAAAAGCAAAACCTGAACCCCACGTACTGTCAAATCAAAGCAGCTGATTTCAGTGCTCTGACCAAATGGAACTAGCACTCCCATTTCAACAGCTCCATCACAAACTCACAAGTCTTTTTGGTGTTTTTGAGCACGTGCTTTCTTATCCTCCTCTTCTTGCAGTTGCTTGGCCATCTGCAAGTCATGTTGCACCAGACGATTACGCTGAACATTTGTAGCCAAGTGATGCTCAACTGGAAACAAACACAGACAAGAACCCTCAAATCAGGGTGCAGAACTTCACTGCGTGAACAAGATAAACCAAGTGGGAGGGAGATTCCAGGCCAGAGAGGAAGAGGGATCTTGGCAGGGGAACACCAGGCAGCAATCATTAAAGGTGGGAAAGTCCTGAACTGAAATTACACTAACAGCTTGAGATTGCCTTGTTTTAGCACTGCGGGGGCTGTATACGTGTCTCTGTTACCAAAACAAGATCTGCATATCTTAACACATCCAGGTTTATAGAGAATGTATTTTAGGCTTTGAATTTCATTTTCTGATGATGGGAAATCACCCTAAGTGAATGAAGTGGGTCTGGAAGGGACCACCAGAGGCCAGTGAGGATGAGCTGAACCTAAAGCACTTCTCATGGATGCTTCCCTAATTTGTTCTCAAGAACCTCTAGAGAAGAAAACTCCTCTCACTCCCAGCAGAATTGGTTCCAAAAATCTCACTACCTTTATATTTAGCAACAGAGCAACCGAGTACTACTGTGATGCCTTTACCATATATGGATATTGCCTGAAAGAAAAAATGGCTATGTGAGCTGCAGCAGAGAGTCATCTTTAATTCAGTGGTCTCAGGTTCCAGCACCAAGGGCACAAGCAGCTGCACCCTTGGTGGAACAGCTGGAATGGCATTAGCACCTAGTACTGGCAGACACCAAACTGGTGAGAAGCTGATTAGAGGCCATCACACCTGAAACTGCAACGTAAACATTCCCAAAGTAACAGATAAGCATATAAAAAAATCATTTAAAGAAAAAAAAGAACCAGTCACTTTGAAGTTCCTGGCTGTACTTTTTTTTCTCCTTTTTAAACACTTCTAGGGTTTAAAAGCTGCCCTACCTCAAAATATCTGAAAAGGAAGCCTCCTTTCAAAAGGCAGACACAGGCAATTCTGAAATAAGTAAACAAACAGACCTCTTCTGGTGGTACTTCAGGTCAGCCTATAAAACTTGAAGCTTCCAAAATTGCTAGTCATTTCTAAAAACCTTGCACAGCAACAAAACCTCAAGTGCACTCCCTACATACAATTTTATCACAAACGGCATAAACAAACTCAACTCTAAAGGAGAGCACAAAACTGAAACATGAAATGCAACTATCTCTAGGGTACAATGTGAGCTGGAGCAGAAGGCAGTGTAGCGTTACAGGATAGTCAAGACAGCAATAATAAACTGTATTCCACTAAAAAGAATAAAAATTGAATAAATGCAGGAAGCATTTCTCTTAGCAAAATCAAATAAAGCTGGGTTATCTGTTGGGACAAGTTTGCTTCAGTTTGTTCTCAACATTATTGCTACTTACTCTCTTGTTCCTGTAAGTTATGGGCCAAGGTATGATCTTCCAGAATAGCAAAGTCTCGACATACTGAACAGGGAAACAAAGTAAAGAGAATTAGTATCAGAAAAAAAAATGCAAAAACACATCAGAAGAGCTGTGGGAGTCAGGGGAATATACAGACTTTTGACACACTCTCTGGACTTGTGTTTTTCCCCCTCCTTCGCTCATGTCTGGTTTTGCATGCGCGCACTTCTTTGTCCCTGTTGGCATAAAAAGCCTTCTTCACTCTCCCCTCCACTTCAAGAACAGAACTGCCCATGCCACCCCGGGATCAGATCTTGTGTACAAACCTGTATTCCATTCAAATTCATACCCTGCCCATGGTGACTGTGTTCAACTGAAAACAAGGGCAAGCATTTGTGATTACAGTGACTTTCTCTACCAGATTAAAGAGTCAGGGAACAGTATTTTCATGGCACAAAGGGTACATGCACATTGCCACCCCTCTGGAACTGAGCAGACTGAGCTCCATGGTTCTCCCTGCAAGGCATTTCTACCAGTTCAGGCATCATTTTATAGATGTTTCTTGTAAGCTTCACCGACTTTTTAAGTGCAGATGCTGGATTTGTACCTAGGACCCAGATATGGGATCAACCACAGTGTTAGGGGCTGCATATAATAAGTACAGCTTCTTAAAAAGATGTTGAAAATGACCTAGAGACAAGCAAAAGAGGAAAAGGACAAACTCCCTTTGGCACCAGTCTGAAAGCAGCAGAGTTTTGCCAATGCCTATCACTTTCACACTTGAACTTGCAAAAGGGAATGCTCTACCCACACTGCAGAAAAACACCAGTGTGTATTTTTAACTTTTGATATGCAGTGGGCCAACAAAACTCAGGTCACATACTTACTGGGACAGGGACAGACACAGAGCATCTGGTTCAGCCTTTTGGTGCTAGGCACACATCAGCTCCTCTGTGAACCAAAGACAACCTGTGCTCCTAAACTGCAGGATGGGACTCCATTTCACATGGGGTTTCTGCCTGCTTCAAGGGGAGTTTAAGGAAGTGGCACTGAAAAATTTATACTGGAGGAGTCTGTTACTTACTTTTCCCCTCAATATGACAAGCTAAGAAGCTTAACAAGGACCCAAGAGGGGAATACCTCCCACTTGAAACACAGGTCACAAAGCAGAGGACTATGAGGTGCTTCTGAAGCCACAGTGGGAAGTACAAACCCCTGCTGCTGTGCTCCATGGGCAAACCTCTGGGGAAGACCAAGGTTTCTCTTTAGCAGAGCACAGGCACAGCCTAGAAGATAAAATGAAAATAACCCCAAAACCCCCAGAATGTATCACAAGTACAAGGGGAATTTACGAGGATTCTGCTTAAGAAAGGTTTCAGAGACGGAAAAGATAAAATATTTCCATCATTGCAAAGGGTGGAAAAAACAAGGAAATGAGAAAGTAGCCACATTTTCCTGAGCCACAAGCCTTCCCGCTTCTCACATTCAAGTTCTGCTAGACAAGCATCAACACATTCCTCTGCACCCAGGTTTCTTCACAAAATATCATGAAGACTTTCGAGTTGTGTGCGCACTAAGAGGTCAGATAAATGTTTTATCATATTCAATGGAATTTTTTTGTTGAGTCTTTCTTTATTGAAGGGTGTTTTAGAGATGACAAGAGCTCCTAACAGCCAGAGCAGTGCTCCAGGGAAGGATAGTGACAAGCAGCAGGGTGGAGATGAGGACAAAGATTATGGTTATATGATCCCAAAGTGGCTCACTTTAAGCATGTACAATTCTGGATTGTGTAATTAAGGTTTTGGTTTTGCTAGTTTTTTTTATTGCAACTTCTTTTAAGAAGAGAAAGACTGTATGAAACACTAAATAGCACTGAAATGCTTCCAAGTGGGCATTTGTGTACAAAGAAAGAAACATTGCCTTCAGCCACAGATCTGGAAAAGCCACAGATGGGTTGCAGGCAGCAACTCTATTCAGGTGACAAACCCAGGGTGCTTGGCAGTCATAAACATATTTTTATGGGATAGGGCAGGGGAATCTTGGCCACAGAGACTTGATTTCTGTGGTCCCTAATACTACTTCAGCTTCCTAGAATGATTGTGGAACAACCACCTACTGCTTACAAGAAGCATCATCTGGCCTGCTGGAAAGGGATATCCAACTTGGAGGTTTGAGCCCTACTATCAGTTTGGAGCTAAGCAGACACCTCAACACAGAGCCACAGTCTGCCCAAATCTAGGGTTGTGCTATTACCATTATGTATTCAGGAAGCAGCACTTGCTCTTGACTGTTAAAAAAAAAAAAAAAAAGAAAGAAAAAAAAGGAAAACAACAAAAGAGAAGAGGAAGGCAGTGTTATTTTTAACTGCAATAGCTCTCTGAGCAAGTCCACTGCACAGCTGCCCAAACAGCTGTACTAGCAAGACAAGGCAGGCAGCACAGGAGCAAGGATGAACATTTCAGAGCTACATTTTCTTTTGCATAAAGATCACTGCTGTAAGAAATGCTTATAAGACTGCATCCCAGCCCTTCTTAACTCCTTTCTGCACAGGCTCACACATTGCCCTGATCCCTGTGGTACTCCAGAGTTCTGCCTTGTCATTCATGCTGCTGATTGTGCTTGCAGACCTTTGATCCATCCTCCCCAGAGAGGCACACCTGCATAGGAGGAGTTCAGGGGTTTGTTTTTTTACTCCACTCTACCCACACCCAGACACACACACTTTTTGTTTGGGAAAAACCATGTTGACAGAAACATGCTTGTTGAGAAAGTGGGAGGGCTGTGGTAGGACACTGCTGCTTCCAACCCCAGGAAAGTCTGATCCCCTCCAGTGAGGTTTATTCCTACAATATAGCAAGGACTGTTTAACCCTTTGGGATTGATGGGCCACTAAAAACTTCCTAAAGAAAGCATGGACTCAAAATAATAGGGCCAAGTCCATATACTGTTGTGTTGCATAGATGGACCTGCTTCTTCTAGCTGCTCCTCCAGAGATCTGTTGGAAGTAGTCTATGGGTCTCCAAAGAAACAATCAAAACAAGCTCCTCAGATCCCCAATTCTTACAGACTACAGCTGAAAGCTGCTGGATGTTAAGAGACACAAAGCAGGGACCAAGGTTCCTGTTTAGGAGCTCAGTGCCTGGGCCAGGAAGCACACACAGCCCTGGGTACCACCTTTCCTAGTGCAATTCCCAGCTCCTGACCCAAAGCCACCGAGCTCAGACGCAGTGCCAACACAGCCACACAGCACCCAGACCTGAGGCCATGCCCAGCCACCACCTGTCCTGTCTCCACAGTGTCAAAGCAAGTGGGACAACACCCTGGGATGAGCCCCCAAGTTGTAGGGCTTAGACACAAACACAGAGGTTGGGTCTTAAAACAGTGATATTAACCCATCAAGATCCAGTACAGAGAGAGAGGGAAGTTGGACAGTTACCAGTGATATGCATGATGGAAGGTCCCAAGTGTCGGGGATCCCCAGTGACCCCATTTCACAGAGGACACAGCAAGGAGCAGACTGGTGGGGCAGCAGCAAGCCTTGGGTTTGCTCACACATTTTCATTTACTTATGCACTGCTGAAGAAGCCATTTGGCTGCACACACACTCCTGTTAAGCCACTCTTACAAACCCAAACAGACGGCTCGAGCACACAGCCCTCTCTTTGTGCTGCTGTAGCTGCTGGCAGGGCAGACAGCACAAGAAGACCTTTCGTCACTGTCAGAAATTTGGCTGGGCTGGCCGACTCCAGCTCATCTGAGCACATTATTCCCAAGTCCCATCAGCCTGAGAACAACGTGCAAAGGAAGATGAGAACATCCCATTATGAACACAACGAAGCACTGTCAAACAGCCAAGTGGCAAGAGATGGGGGACACCTGCAACTCCCTAGCAAATCTGGGGGTGGTGGCAGAGCAGAGCACTCCCTCAAGACTAGACCCAGCACCCATGGCACCAAGTCAAGCATGACGGCAGCTGCAAGTGAGGCCAAGGAAACCAACCCTCCTGTCCTTGAAGATGCACATCCAACAATGAGGCAACTGTGAATAATTGGAGATGTGGACCAGCCAGGCATGGTCTGAAGTGAATTTCATCAGCACTAGTCCTCATCCCCTGCCCAGTCTCAGTGTGGCTCCAGCACACTCATTACTAGGTATTACTGGGTTTGTTCTCAGAAACAGGATGGCCCCAATGACAACAGAGACTCACAGCTGTCCTCTCCAAGAGACTTCGTATCGAGGGAAAAGAAATCCATTTCATTACTCCCTAACTGTACGCCTAAAAAATGAAAGGTAAGATTAAAGTTACCTTCACTGCTGCAAATCAACTTGACTTCCCATCCCCAGGCCCTGGCTGGAAGCCATCAGGCAGTCAAACAAGCAGCAGGGGTGCAATCAGAGCAGCTACAATTGGCAAGTCCAGTGAAGCGTGAAACATTCACAACAGGTTTACCATAGTCTGATTAAGCCAATCAGCCTTGGTGCAGCAGGGAGCAGACCTGGAATACCCGCTTCTGGCACAGCTGTCAATAAAAGAAATGCCAACCCAGAAATCCCAGCTGCTGCTACAGCCAGCAGACGTGCCAGCAGGGGAGGATGAGGGCAGAAGCATCATCCTTTGCAACAGTGGTGGAGTCCAAAATTCATGCAGTGGCATGGAAGAGGGAGCTCAGTTGCTTGAGGAATCCTCAAGAGCCTCTCTGCAAGCTCCAAGCAAAGGTCTTTTCCTATGGTAGTTCACCCTGAAAACAGACCTTTCCATGAATGAGTGCATCTGCGGCTCTTGCAAGCTTGGCTGCAAGCCCTGCCTTTATCAGAAAGATAAGGAAGTCCCTAGGTACAGAACTTGGCAAAATTACATTAAATAACCTTGTCCTTTTTATATTCTGCCACCTGCCTCACTAGCTTTCTCCAGCATTACCTCAGCTCCATACTTCAGCATTTCAAACATCAAACTGCTTCAAAGAGAGTAAGGTAACCACAACAGAGGAGCAAAGGCAGCCTTACATATTGTTAGTGATATTCAGGTGTGTGACAAAGAGGTAGGTAACACCCAGGAATGGGTG